TAACATTTGCAGCACTGCAGGTGGTTGGGATTAGCAATGTTAGTTTGATGAGTCAATGGTAAAAATGCACAGAAAAATGAAAATGCAGACTTCAAATCCATCGACACAAGTTCATGGGTAGTGTATGTGTAATATTTTATAATGAACTATAAGCTTGATTTTGAGGTACTGTCTTGATGATACAAGCCTTTCTTGTACAGATTTACCTTTCAGATTCATACGGACTTAATCTGAAATCATCTATCTGCATCACATGAAAATAGAATGATCTTTGGGAGAAACTGCATGTCCCTGTATAAAACATTTTTGTAATTTTCCAGTTCGATTGTAATTTGAAATTCAGTTTCTAGATGTTTTTGTTTTTCTCTGGATGGGAAAGTCTTCAAAATTGAAGTCACATGGCATTTAAACAATGGACAATTCGAGCACACAATGTGTTGTACAATTACTGTAACATGCCAAAGAGAAGAACCAAGTGACATGCCCTGAGGTGTCATTTAGTGCTGTATTAAAAAGTTGGCCAAATGATGAATCAGAAGCTTTCTAAGCCATTAAGGGTATTGCTTTTATAAATTAAGCTCACATACCACTTAAAACAGGAATTAATATCTTCAGAACTAGGGTTTCTTAGTAGCTGGGTGTGGACAAACATAATAGCTTTGTTTGTCTAGAGACATGAAAAATAGTGTATGTATTAACTACAGGAAAAAGCTTCCATACATCCCATGCTCCGCAGTGACGGCTGTTGAATATTTGATATATTAATACATATTTATATTCTGAATTTTGGGCAGTGATTGTAAAGTCAGGCAGATTTAGTACCTAAAATAGTTTATAGCCTTAGAGAAAAGTGTCAGTATAAAAATAATCATTTTGTCTTAGTTCTTTACACACGTATCTTCTTTTTTTTTCCCCTTGTGAAATGAAACTTGAGAAAAAAATAAGAAAAGTAATCAGTCTTTTTAAGCTTATATCCATTCTGTTCCAAATCGCTATGCTAATGGAGAACACAAGAACAGAGATGCACAAGTTTTGAGTTTGTGAAATGTATTTTCTGGTGTTTTTCTACTACTCTAGAGATAAAAATGATGTAGCAGACTATCACAATAAATATTTACCATTGTATATTCTGCAGGAGCAACTTTTAGTTGAAAAATCATCGTAGTCATATAGTTTAACTCTCGTTACTCATGACTCATTAAAGTTTTGTGATGGTCTTTCATTTTGCCAAGTGGACTGAAATATATGTTTCTACTTGGGTGATGCTGAAATATACTCATTTTTGACTCTCTCCTTCAATGGTGGGGACTGAATATCTTTAAAAAGTATCCGATGTCAGTATGATATGAGCTAGTATGAATGTTCACTTGCCTTTACAATCCTTCATCTTGCTCTGACCAGTGGCCAAGGAGTGAAGTTGGCCTACTATCAACCTTGCAGTCAGGCTTCTGTGCAGCCTGGAGAGACAGAGCAAGCACTGAGGGTTACCTTTCTGCGCTCTCAGTAGCTAGTTACAGTAACATTGAGATGCTCAAGACAAGTCTGCTCTTGAAAGTGAAGAGGGACTCATTGTTGCCTAACTGGAGAAATCTAATTATATGCAAAGGAAAAAGGATGGAAACTAAGACATTAGTAAGTTCTACCTGCGTTGGTTTCAGGCAGCACATCCTGAACTTGTTTAAACCTCAGTTTCAACTGCACTTTTATTTGGGTCAGTTTAAATTCAGGATGCCCTGGAGACAATCATGACTCTTTATGGAAATTGTTATGAATAATGGGTCTATTTGACTACAAGTAGAAAATATGTTCTATGTTAAATCACTGACACCACAGGCAAGAATATTATCCCATGTCTTTCCTGTGACCTTCTCCATTCCCTCCTTATTCATTGCTCTAAGGGCTGCTCTGTCTTTACCACATTTAATAGCTCCCCTGATGGCTACAAGTTGTATTGCAGGAGGTGCAAATTACTTTTCATAGTCCTTTTGCCTTCTTCCCTATTGGATTTGGGCTTTAACAAAGTCCAGAGGGGCAGTCAGATGCTGAATATATATATAGATATATAGATATATAGATATCTTTTTTTTAACGTGATCACCCCAATCCAAAAAAAGAAAGGGAGAAAGACATACTAAGAAACAGCCACCCCCTGCATAATATCTGTTCTCTGACACTGGTGCACTGTCATTTAGAAGCACTACCTTAGAAGTGCTCTACCATATGCTCATTATCTGTCATCCCAGAAGGAAAATATGCCAGTAGATGACAGTGTGGTTTATTTATTTCTCTGTTACTATGTAATTCCCACCTCTTTCCCCGTACGGAAATTCCTGGAGATCTTTGTTGGGACTCAGTGGGGACTGATAACCAAAGGATGTATTGATTCTTCATGCATTGCGTAACTGGCACAAATAGAGAGAAGCAACAGATTCTTCCAAGACTCTTTATTAATTGTGGTTTCTTGAAATTTTAGAAATTTTGACAAATTCACTTCCCAGATCTCCTGCTTCAAATAAGAGACATTGTATAACACCCTTTGGTCTGACCAGCCTAATAATAGTGGTAGAAGCAAATAGTATTTATTTAAAACTATTTGAAAATGGTTCAATAAATACTGTGGCCAACTTACTACTACAACTATTAATATAGGACCTAGACTGGTTAATATTCTTAGTTATGATGTAGGAAGCACAGGTCTAGGAGGCAAATGTGCCGTTCACATGGTCTGAAAAGCAAAAGGATGTTTCATCTTAAATATATGAGTTAATGCCAGACAAAGAAATATTTCATTCTAATAAACCTGTTAGAACTCATAACTTTCATAAAACGCAGAAAAGAATTGAAAAATAATGTGAGACATGTCACAGTACAATAGTTACAGTACAGTAACGTCTTTCTTTATGTCTTTCCATCTTAAGCCTATAATTTTTAAAATTATATTAATTATTCCATTACGAGTGCAGAATGAAAACCTTTACAGAGTTACTTCTGTGCATCACTTCCAAAGCTGAGGTTGTCTTCAGAAGCTGTAGATTATTCATATTAGATAATGAGGTCAGCTTTGACTGCATATAGAAGGGCAGATTCAGATGGCAAAAGCATTCGTCACAGGGACCGTCAAGCTTATCAAACCTGTTACAACAGGACATTGAGAACCTACTTTACTATAAAAAGAACTACATCCAAGAAAAAATACTGTAATCAAAATATTTCATCTGGAAACCACATAATTATAAATTATAGGATAAATTCTTCTCATTTCTGACAGCATATTATGTCACATTAATTTTTGAAAGACATTTTTTTGCTCAGTTATACCAAATGAAAAAGCAACAGCATTTAGTTTTAATATTTCTGGATTAAAAATCAGACATTAAAAGAGTCTGTCAACTAAACATATAGATTTAGTTGTGACTGCTTCCATGCTTTCAATCAAACATTTATTTTACAAACATCAGCGTGGCTCCATACATACATCTAATGCCAAGTCTTTCCCTTTCATATATACTTGGGAGAAAGTTTATTTCTTTGTGTCAACAAGAGGAAATACTTGAAAAATTGAAATGTTGTCAACTATGTATGTCCTCAAAGTTCTGTAAGTCTATGTAAAATTTTTGCTAAATTAACTTTCTGACATTATTACTACTAATATTTTAATACTACGTAGGGTTCCAGATAAAATGCCAACAGTGGAAAATAACTGTCTACCCCCAAAGAATTTACAGAAGAAGAGTTAATGTTGAGTATTTCCTTGTTTCAATATAGAGCTGTTAGGCCAAAGTGCAAGCCTTTCTTTATTTATACACTCTTT